CCCCACCGCCCCCCTGCTCGGGTCTCTCCTGGGCTGGGCAGGCTGCCGGGGTCCCATGCCCCTGGGTCGCGGGGTGGTCGTTCTCTTTGTCCCCCTCACTCGCCAGGTGTCCCTGGGGGTCCCCCCCGCGTGGTGGGCCGGTGTTGTCCGTCCCCACCGCCCCCCCCCTCGGGTCTCTCCCGGGTTGGGCCGGCTGCCGGGCTCGCAGACCCTTGGAACGCGGGGGCGATCGCCCCCTAATCTCAGGGCTGACCAGGACCCCGCGCTGACGGCGGTTAGCTGCGACCCTGGTTCCCCGCGGGGAATGGCAGATACGACGGGCAAGACAGTGCCCCGACGGCGGCCGTATCCCTGGGTGCCGGTTCCGTGGCCCCCCCTGCGGGGAGGGCTCCGCGGGGGCTCAAGGTGCTCTTGCATCCCGGTGCCCCGTGCCCGTGTGCCGCAGAGGACAGGTCCGTGCTCGGAGGCGGCTCCCGCCTGCTCCGGGACGGGCAGCGCATCGGACTCGTGGCTGTAGGGGCCGCGGCCGCCTTGGAAGCAAGAGAAATCAGCCCCGTGCCGTTGCAGTCGTGCATTCTGAACATAGAGGCGTGACAGCGGTGGGAGGCTGCCCTCTCTCGTTGCAGCAGGTGCGGCCCCCTTGGACAACTGACCCGCAGCAGGCTGCGTCCACCCTGGGGGTGCTCTGCTCCTTGATCGCCCCCTCCATGGACGCACCGTCCTCGCTCAACCCAGAGCGGCGGTTGGCCGCGACCCTGGATCCACGCGGGGAGTAGCAGAGACTACGGGCACGAGACATAGCCCTGACGAGGACCGCCAACACGTCTCTCATACGGACTCCCGGGAACAGATGCCGACAGCACCTCAGACGGCAGCCGGCCGCCACCCTGGCCTTCCCTTGGACGTCGAAGCGGAAGAGGCCGAAGGCCACCCTGGACGAGTGCAGCGTCAGCCGTTCGCTGCCCCCCTGGTGCTCGGGCCCTGGCTTCGGCGCCCTTGCCCCCTCGCCTGGACTCCCTGGGGGCCTCTCCGACTGGAGGGTCGGTGACGTCTGTCCCCGCCGCCCTTCTTCTCGGGCCCCTCCTGGGCTGGGCAGGCTGCCGGGTCCACGTGCCCCTGGATCGCGAGGTGCCCGTTCTCTATGTCCCCCTCGCTCGCCAGGTGTCCCTGGGGAGCCACAGGCCCCGCGCTGACGGCGGTAACATTGCCTCACGCATAGGCGATTAGCTGCGACCCTGGATCCCCGTGAGGAATGGCAGATGCGTCGAGTAGGTCAGTGCCCCGACGGTGACCGCCCCTCCGTACTTCATGCAGGTGGCTGGCACGCCCATCTGTCTCTCACACGGACTGCTGTCGTACTCCCGGGGACAGATGCCGACAGCACCTCAGACGGCTGTCGGCCGTCACCCTGGCCTTCCCTGGGACCCCGGCGCGGAAGAGGCCGAAGGCCACCCTGGACGAGTGAAGCGGACCCTGAGCAGCAGTTGGCTGCATCCCTGGAGTTCGGGCCCTGGCTTCGGCGCCCCTGCCCCCTAGCCAGGTCCCCCGGGATCCGTGTGGGGGGTCGGTGACGTCTGTCCCCGCCGCCCCTCTCCTCGGGCCCCTCCTGGGCTGGGCCGGCTGCCGGGTTCGCATGCCCCTGGAGCGCGAGGTGGTCGTTCTCTGTGTCCCCCTCACTCGCCAGTTGCCCCTGGGGGGCCCTCCGCGTGGAGGGCCGGTGGCGTCTGTCCCCGCCGTCCCTCCCTCGGGTCTCTCCCGGGCTGGGCAGGCTGCCGGGCCCGCAGACCCCTGGATCGCGGGGGTAATCGCCCCCCCACCTCAGGGCTGACCAGGGCCCCGCGCTGACGGCGGTATCACCTCACTCATAGCGGCGGTTAGCTGCGACCCTGGATCCACGCGCGGAATGGCAGATACGACGGGCATGACAGTGCCCCGACGGTGACCGCCCTTATTCATGCGGGCGGCTGTCGTGCACTGATTCTCATGCCCGGGCCTCGGCAGGCCTAATCTCAGACGGCGGCAGGCCGCCACCCCGGCCTTCCCTTGGACGTCGAAGCGGAAGAGGCCGAAGGCCACCCTGGACGAGTGCAGCGGACCCTGAGCATCCGTTCGCTGTCCCCCTGGTGCTCGGGCCCTGGCTTCGGCGCCCCTGCCCCGCCTGGTCCCCCTGGGGCCCGTGTGGAGGGTCGGTGATGTCTGCGCCCCTCTCCTCGGGCCCCTCCTGGGCGGGGCTGCTGCCGTTCTCGCTTGCCCCTGGATCGCGAGGTGCCCGTTCTCTATGTCCCCCTCTTTCGCCAGGTGTCCCTGGGGGGCCCCATCGGCGTGGGGGGCCGGTGATGTCTGTCCCCACCGTCCCTCCCCTCGGGTCTCTCCCAGGCTGGGCAGCTGCCAGGCTCGCTGACCCCTGGATCGATGGGTGATCGTCCTCTCGCCCCAGGGCTGACCAGGACCCCGCGCTGATGGCGGTAACGTTACCTCACTCATAGCGGCGGTTAGCTGCGACCCTGGATCCCCGCGGGGAACGGCAGATACGACGGGTAAGGCTGTGCCTCGACGGTGGCCGCCCTTCCGTAATGCGGGCGGCTGTCGTGCAGCTCCACTGTGGATTCCCCTGCCTCGCTGGCGATGTTCATCCCCGCCGGCCAGGCTTCCTCACGCAGTGCTTCCGCCGGCGTTCGCGCAGCCGTTGGAAGGGTTGGCCCACGAGTCTCGGTGCCTTCCCCGTGGTGCGCGGGGTGACGGCCCCGGGAGTTCGGGCCGCTTCGGGTGGTTCAGCCTTCGCAGCCACGGCCTGTCCCCCGGGCCTGTCCCACCCGCCAGGCTGGTATTCGACGTTCCTCGGCGGAGCAGCTCAGCTGGCTCGCACGCGCCGTTGGCGCGATCTGGGCTTGGTGCCCCACTGGCGACTCGCCCCTCGCTTACCACCCCTGGACGCCCAGACGGCATGTTGGACACGCAGCCTGCCGCAATCGTCCTCGTGCTTCGTGTGGGTCTTGCCTCGCGGCACAACTGGAATTTTCCAGCATTTTGCTGGGCTGCAAGTGCCCGGGCTTCCCTGGGCGCCCTCAGCTCGCCGTCTCCTCCGCGCAGTCAGCCGCTGCTGGGTGAGTGGGCCGGCCGGCCTGCGGCGCGTTTAGTAGCTAATTTGGCCGTTTTCGTGCCCCGTAGCACTCCTGACTCCGCTAGCGCCTTCGCTGGTGGACGCGACCGAAAAAAGTATCCCCACCAGCCCATCCATAATTGATTGCCAGTTTTCTTGAGGCCTCTTGGAGGCTATCTTGAGCCATGCTCGGCTAGAGGCTGTCGGAGGCTACCTTGAGCCATGCTCGGCTACCTTGGGCCATCTTGATGCTGCCTTGAGGCCTCTTGGGGCTCTTTGGGGGGTCTGGGAGGCCTCTTGGGGCCGTCTTGGGCACCATGGCTCAAAAAGAGGGGGGGGGAGAAATTGGGCGCCCCCCCCCCCCCCCCCCCCCCTCGGAGGCTCTCAAACGGCATCTTGGGGCCCTCTTGGAGCGCTCTTGGGCGCCTCTTGGGCGATCTTGGGGCCGTCTTCGGCCTTCTTGGGCCCCTCTTGGGCCTCTTTTGGGCCATCTTGGGGCCATCTTGAGGCTTCCAAAGCCCATCCGAAGCGAAAAGGCGATAATGCCAACAACATTGATCATCCCTAGGCATTTGAACGGTTTTGGCATCTTGGAGGGCGTCGTGGAGGGCTCGGATGGCACTTGGATCCGTATTGGGGCTTTCTTGAGGCCTCTTGGGGGTATGTCGGAGGCTATCTTGACCCATCTTGAAGTAGCATGGGCCATCTTGGAAGCCATCTTGCGACTTCGAAGCCCTCTTGGAGCAATCTTGGGCCATCTTGGACTAGACCTCGTCATCGCCCAGTTCAGGGTCTATGCGAAGAGACCTCGGCATCCCTGCGGGGCTGCGATCTGCGACACCGTCGCCACTTTGGAGGGCTGCTGGCTGGACCAGCTTAGCGCGGCGCTGCGCAGATCAGACCGGGACCTCGCTATCTCTGGGGGGCTGCGAAATACTGTCGCCGCTTTCGAGGGCTGCTGGGGGCTCCAGTGGAGTGACGTCTTACGCAGATTCAGGGTTGACCTCGCCATCCATGGGAGGCTGCGATCTGTCAAACTGTCGCCACTTTGGATGGCTGCTGGGGTGCTTGGCAGGTGTGGCGGGGCGTCTTACGCAGACCCAGTCTAGACCTCGCCACCCGTGAATCCCTGGGGGGGCTAAGCTATCGCGACTTTCGAGGGCCGATTTCTGGCATACCTCGAAACATAATCTCTTTCTCTCTCTCTCTCTCTTTCCTCTGGCCGACTTTAGTTGTTACCCTCGTGCTGCTACCATGTCTTGCTGCTGCCCCGCAAACGTGTCAAACTCCCTGTGCGCCTACTCTTCTTAGTCCTCGACCTTCTTTCCTCTAGGCCCAGGAACCCTTGTCCATTGGTCGGTATCCTGCGAGTCGCGCGCCCCGCGAGCCTCCCAGAAGCCGTTTCCAGAAGACATGTTCCCTTGTCACATTATCACCCCCTATAAAGTCCACCCAGCTCGCCTGGCCATGTGTTGCGCCAGGGTTGGGGACATCGTCTGGGTAATTTCGATACGGGTTCCAAGGGAATTCCGACCCTGTCCGTGGGACCCAACGGTCGCGGGGCCTGGTCAAGATTCCCAGAGGCTGACAACGGTGAAAAGCCTCGCGTCTTTTTGGTGTTTTTTTCCATCTGGGTATCGCCACCCTTGCCTCGTCTTCGCCTTTTTTGGGCCTCCGAACCTCGTCTCCACCGCTGGATTCGCGTCGCGATTCTTGTCAGGGCGCACCCCAGGAGAGGTCAGGGGAGTCGGCGGTATTGGTACCTTTTGGTTTCTCCAAGTGGCCCCGAAACTACCACCCGCGGGCCCAGAAGGTGCACGAGAGGTGTGTCTTCACCCCACGTGTATTGCTCCCCCCCCCCCACACACCGTTGGCGAACACCCGAGAGGACATTAATGACATGAAGAAGTATCCCATCCCGTACGATTCGCTCAAGGTCGGCCAGGAGTTCAAGGGGATCGTGCGCTCCATGTCGCAATTCGGCGCCTTCGTGGACATCGGGGCCAAGAACCCCGGGCTGCTGCACCGCTCCAGCGTCACCGCGAACGAAATCAATAACACCCGCTGGCTCCTCAAGGATTGACGACGCGCTCCAAAAAAACATAAGAGAGGGCAGGCCTTGTCAGTAGGCGGCGGGGCTTCGTGGAAGCCCTCGCGCGTACTGATAGGTCGTCCTGTGCCTTCGGAGAGGGCTCGGAGCTCGGCCTTCTGAGCCCTTTGGGAAGCTCCGCCCCCTCTGCCTTCCCTCCGGGGCGCCCCACCAAGAGGCTAACCAGGAGGTCAAGGTCTGGATCAGTGGCTTGACGGGCGACGGGCAGTTCAGCCTGACCATGATCGAGGGCCAGAAGGACATCGTGGGGGGCGGGCCGCCCGCCCCCCGCGCGCGACGCGGCGCCCACCGCGGGCGCCGCGTCCAGCGCGACGGACGTATGTATGTCTGTATGTTTGTGTGTTTGTATATATGTATGTGTGTATGTATGTATGTATGTATGCATGCATGCATGCATGCATGCATGCATGCATGCATGTATGTATGTATTCATGTATGTATGTGTGTATGTATGTATGTATGCATGCATGCATGTATGTATGTATGTATGTATGTATGTATGTTTGTGTGTGTGTGTGTATGTGAGTATGTCTGTATGTACGCCTGTATGTATGTGTGCATGCATGTCTGCCTGTATGCATGCATGCACGTCTGCATACATTCATGTATGCATGTATGCACGCATGCGTGTATGCGTGTATGCATGTATGTTAGTATGTATGTATGCATGCATGCATGTGTGCATGCATGTATGTATATATGTATCTAAGTATGTATGTTTGTGTGTGTGTGTATGTGGATATGTATGTTGTATCTATATATGTATATATGCGTGTATGTGTGCACGCACGTATGCATGCATGTATACGTGCGTGCATGCATGCATGTATGCATGTGTGTATTTATGTAGGTATGCATATATAGATGTACGAATGTTTGTATGTATTCATGCATGTCTGTTTGTGTACATGTTGGTAGATACTCTATATATGTTTGCAGGCATATATGTATGCATGAATGTAGGTATGTGTGTGTATGTGTGTATGCACGTATGCGTCTATGTAATTATGTAGGTGTATGTATGTATCTCTGTTTGTTTGTAGGTAGGCGAGTGTATATGTATGCATGCATGCATGTCCGTATGTATGCATGCAGGCATGCATGCATGTATGCATGTATGCATGTATATATATATATATATATATATATATATATATATATATGGTCACACCCCCCCCTGTGATCCACCTCACCCTCTGTTTTCTTATCTGACCGTCACCCTGTTGTTTTCCTATCTCATCGTCGTTCGTGCTTTGAGCTGGTGCTGCTAATCTTTTGTGGTGTTCGATTGAGGGGAGGAGCGGGAGAACAAGAGAGCGACTGAGCGGGAGAAAAGCGCCAGGAGAAGGCGCGCGAAAATGCAAAAAAGGCGAAACATGCAAAAACAAAAACCTAAAGACATCCTAAGAAAACCATGCGAAAAAGTTGCGAAAACCTATGTTTTCCTAGGTTTTGCACCCATCGGAGGCCCCAAACCTGTGAAAACACAAGATTCGAGCGCATATGAATTAGAAAACCCTGTGTTTTCACAGGTTTGGGGCCTCCGATTGGCGCAAAACCTAAGAAAACACAGGTTTTCGCAACTTTTTCTCATGGTTTTCTTAGGATGTCCTTAGCGTTTTTTTTTTTTTTTGTTTTGCATTTTTCGTCTTTTTTTGCATTTTCGCTTGCTTGCGGCCGGCGCCACGTCGGCCCTCCCGCTCCCTGGGGCGGGCAGACGAAAATGCGCATCCGAATTACGAAACCTAAGGAAAAGCAAGGTTTCTGACAGCTGGTAACAATGAAACAAACCATTGCAATCCAATGTTCCCCCGCTCTCGCTCTCTCTCGATTTTCTGGCTCCCATTCTCTTCCCTCGGCGCCTGTTTTCTGTTACTCCGAGCCGGAGGCAGATGATGAGAAGCGGAATGCGCTTGATTGGGAGAGGAGGAGGAGGAGAGGGAGGAGGAGCAGTGAGGAGGACGAGGATTGTGAGGATGCGGAGGGGAAGGAGGTGGCTTTGGATTACATTGCTTGGCATTGCTAGGCAGTTCTTGTCAATGGTAAGCATTGCGGCAGCGATTGGCAGCACATTGCATTGCGTGCATTGCTTGGCATTACTTGTCATCGCTTAGCTTTGCTTGGCATGGATTTGCGATGCTTGGCATTACGTTGCCTCGCTTTATTTCGTATTGCCGTGCATGGCGTTGCATTGCTTTGAATCGTACTGATGTCCATTGGGTTGCTTTGCTGTGAACTGCTCTCCACTGCCTTGCGTGGCTTTGCATCGCTTTGCTTTGCTTCGCATTGTTTTGCCTGCCTGGCATTGCTTGGCATTGCTTGGCATTTGTTTCGTGTCCATGCCACTTGGGCTTCTGATTACATCTCCCCTCCAATCTCCCTTGCTTATCTCCTCCTCCATAGCCTATTCGGCTTTGTTTATGTTTAGTTTCTTTTGCTTCGTTCCCCAGCGTGGCCGCCCCAGCACGCCATGCCAGCTTCTTCCAAAAAGGCCGTCAAAACGAAGACCGATAATTGCAGCGAGGCCGCCAGCGATCGGCGCCATGCCAAGAAGGCGTTGATTCGAATCCTCCATTGGGGCGCTCCTCAGAATGACATCCCATGCCTGTGGAACCTCGCAGTCGAGGTCCGCGCAGCCACGAGATTCACATTAGAACTTCCTCAATTTGCATATCTGCGGGGATTATTCGGCGACAGGGAGCATCCTGAGGCGACCCGATTGCACTTCGCCTTGGCGAGCATCGAGGACGACATACTTCTCGAGGCAGAGCGCGAGCTCACGGCGGGAGTCGCGGGCTTAGCCCTGAACTCATACATGTTCGACGGCGCGGTTGTAACAGCGTCGGCGGACGATCTGGACCTGATAACCGGCGTCCTCGAGGTAGTCGGCGAACGCCGGGGAGTTTCTTTTACAGTTTCGGCATTCGACGATGCGCTGGGGGGCGCCGATCCGTCTGCGGCCGCGACATGGGTTGGCTTTCAAGTGGAGCAGGAGCAGTTGTACCTGCGATTCCGACAGGGAAGAATCACTTCGAGCATCCGATTCAACAGGGCGGTGGCCGCGCTCGAGGAGCAATATGGCCAGAACGCGATCCATCTGAGAATGCTCATGGGTTTGCGCCCGCAGCCGCCGCTGAGGTGGCGCAGTTGCGCAGCCCCTTCCTCGCCGCAGAGAACGTGGCGTTCGGTCGGGGGCGGAGGAACGCCTGCTGGCCACCCAGATGAGAAGTTCTCGCTCGCTGGCTGCGCTCGGGTCCGCTCTCGCCTGCAGGCAAGCGACGGGCGAGACGTCGTCCAACTTGCGGTAACTCGCCGAGAGATCATGATCAAGCTGGCGGCTCTTGAGGACGCAGGCTCCGATGACTTTTCGTTCGTCTACCCGTCCGACGACCCTCGCCCCTTGCCTGCCGTTTTTACAGTGGTCGCGCAGATGGGCCACGTCGTGATGCCCATTGACGTCGAGCTGTTTAGAACGATGCAAGTGGGGATCTTCATGCGTGTCCAGCGCTACTTCGAGTTCAGGGAGAAGATGGACGAGGTCGCCGTTGCGCAGTTCACTGCGTGGGCCACAGAGCTTGAGGCGGCGTTTGGATTTGAGGCGCGGCTTCTGCGACTCCTGGTTCTCAGGCGGCGCTCGCAGTTGGCGTCTTTCCTGTCGGAGCAGCATTGCTTGTACGCGCGAGTGCGGCAAGGGCTTTTTCTCACAAGCGCCCATTTCTCCAGGGAGGCAGCGGCGCTAGAGGCACGTTACGGCCGAAAGGCGAGCCGCCTGAGATGGCTGATGACGCAGCGCCCGCAACCTGCGTTGGTGACGCACAGTTGCGCGGCCCCGCCCTTGCAGCAGAGGGCGTGGCATTCAGTTGGTGGCGGAGGAACGCCGTCTGGCCACCCAGACCAGGAGTTCTCGCTCGCTGGCTGCGCTCGGGTCCGTTCCCACCTGCGGGCGTTCGGCGGGCAAGACGTCGTCCAACTTGCGGCAATTCGCCGAGGGAGCATGATCGAGCGGGCGGCTCTGGAGGATGCAGGCTTCGGTGACTTTTCGTTCGTCTACCCGCCCGACGATCTTCGCCCCTTGCCTGCGGCAGCATTTACAGTGGTCGCGCAGATGGGCCACGTCGTGATGCCCATTGACGTCGAGCTGTTTAGAATGATGCAAGTGGGGATCTTCATGCGTGTCCAGCGCTACTTCGAGTTCAGGGAGAAGATGGGCGAGGTCGCCGTTGCGCACTTCACTGCGTGGGCCACAGAGCTGGAGGCGGCTTTTGGATGTGAGGCGCGGCTTCTGCGACTCCTGGTTCTCAGGCTGCGCTCGCAGTTGGCGTCTTTCCTGTCGGAGCAGCATTGCTTGTACGCACGAGTGCGACAAGGGCTTTTTCTCACAAGCGCCCAGTTCTCCAGGGAGGCAGCGGCGCTAGAGGCGCGTTGCGGCCGAAAGGCGAGCCGCCTGAGATGGCTGATGACACAGCGCCCGCAACCTGCGTTGGTGACGCACAGTTGCGCGGCCCCGCCCTCGCCGCAGAGGGCGTGGCATTCAGTTGGTGGCGGAGGAACGCCGTCTGGCCACCCAGACCAGGAGTTCTTGCTCGCTGGCTGCGCTCGGGTCCGCTCCCACCTGCGGGCGTTCGGCGGGCAAGACGTCGCCCAACTTGCGGCGATTCGCCGAGAGGGCATGATCGAGCGGGCGGCTCTGGAGGATGCAGGCTTCTGTGACTTTTTGTTCGTCGACCCGCCTGGCGATCCTCGCCCCTTGCCTGCAGCGGCATGTGCAGTGGTTGCGCAGATCGGCCACGTCATGATGCCCATTGACGTCGAGCTGTTCAGAGAAATGCAGGTGGAGGTTTGTGTGCGAGTCCAGCGCTACTTCACTTGCAGGGAGGTGATGGGCGATGTTCCCGTTGCGCAGCTTACTGAGTGGGCCGCATATCTCGAAGCGGCGTTTGGATGTGAGGCGCGGCTGCTGCGACTGCTGGTCCTCCGGCTGGGCTCGCTGCTTCGCTCGGGTAACGCGGCGGCGACAGACGGCCAGTTCGATGGCGATTCGTTGGGTGGTTCCCTGGCGTGTGGCATTTGCGGCGGAGTTCCCGATTCTGGCATGGAGGGCGCAGTCAACACCCGTAGTAAGGATGAACAAGTCCAAGAGCACTCCTGCATCCTCATCCCGCGACCTTAGTTTTCCAGTCGTGCCCACCTCTCCCTGGTCCACCCCTTGGCCCATCGAAGGAGTGCTAACGTGGCCTTCCAAGGTCCTTGCATCCTCATCGTGCATCCTCACTATAGGTTTTTGATTGTAGAAAGCAAATCGGCCAAGTGCTTGCGTTCTGTTTGCCAATATATGTCTGACAAAGCTTTTGAAAACGCAGTTTCTGATTTGATGATTTGTTGCTGCATGAGCTGATTGCTTTCGTGCCGTCGGAAGAGGTGTCATCTGCTTCAACGGCTCAGACATGTGCGTGTACTGTGTCCATGCGCACCTCGACAGCATCCGCGACTGCGAGTCCGATGGCGATATGGAGGACCAGTATACTGACCTTTACGCAGAGGACAGCAACGTGGAAGACCAAGATGAAGACGGCTTTTCCGATGGATCTTCATGGTTATCGCTCGTCCAGGCCATTTTGTTGCTACGCGTCAACTGCCAGAGCGACGACGACTGCGAGAGCGACGACGACGACAGCCTCGGCGGCGGGCCGACTCGGCCGTGCGCAAAGAAACCCGCTGCTTTTCAGACTTGCACGCCCAAGCGCGGGAAAGCCCGAATGGCAATGAAGGTTGCCAAGAAGCCGTCTGGGGCGCACAAGATGCCGTTCGCGCCGTATGTTCGCCATGGGCAGAAGACTGTCACATCGAGGCCAGTGAAGATGCAGATCAGTTGTGCCCTGAAAGACATTTATACTGCATCCGCTTCCAAGCTCATTCGCATGCTGACGCGGAGTGGCCATCTTCGCGACTGGGCTGGCGAGCAGTGCCCGTGGTGCGCGACTGGGCGCCTCGGGCCCCTGCGACGCATGCCTGGTAGAGGTGACGTTTACCGCTGCGACAGGAAGATGTGTCACCAGTTCGTGACGCCGCAGCACAACCACCCAGTATTTAACCTTGGCTGGGGCAATGCGTCCGCTCCGCTGTCAGATAAAACTGTCGTGTGCATGCGCGCGGCGCGGGGCCTCTCTCAGGCTAAGTGCCGCCAGGTAACGGGTCACAGCAGCAAACTCATTGAGAACACATACTTGCGCCTGGATGAAGCGAGGATGAAGTACGCGCTCAAAAAGGAAAGGACAAGTCGCTTTGGCTCGGTCGAGGAATGGAGCGACATTGAAGCCGATGAAGTCGACTTGGGCAAAGAGGGCGACTGGAGGAAGACGGACAAGCAGAAACCAGTTCAATGGGAGCAGTGGGGAGGCATCGTCGAGCGCGGTCGGCCGCGTACGCTGGTGCTGACTAGCGCGCTCCTCAGATGCTGTTCTGATTCGTATCCTCGCGCGCGAGCCCTTCTGGTTTTCGGTGCTTGCGATGCTGCCGTCGCGCGATTTCGCCGAGAGAAGATCCGCTTGAGCGATTGCGATCGATCGTGCGATGATCGCGAAATCACCGCTCCGATCGATATGCACTGCGATGCGATCAGGCAGCCGGCCCGCGATCTCGCCGAGCTCTGGTATGGTCGGTTGGGCGGTGCCAGACACGATCCGATATCGAAGCCTACGCTCCTATCGATTTGCACGGAGATGTTCGTAAACGAACAGATGAGGACTTGATCCGTGCCGCGCGACTCGTCGCGCCCCAGGGCCAGGGCCAATTCGCAAGCGGGATTGGAAGCCGACCGCCAGGAAGCGTTTGGAGAATACCAACGTGGTTTTGCATACCGACGGCGCCCGCGCATGCAAAATGCGCATCCCCGGTGTTATTCGCGACAGCGTGGTGCATTGCAAGAACAAGGTCGTCTTTAAAGGAAAGACAGTATGGGTGAAACCGAAGTACTCAGAGATTAAGAAGCACATTCTTCCTGACGGGCAGCACCTTTTTGTCAAAACAGGCACGCAGATCATCGACCGTTTCTGGTCCCACTTGAGAGCGCGCCTGGGCAAGCGCGCGCACAAGGTCAACAACAGATCCATGTGTCGACGTATTCGTTCTGCTCAGTGGACGTGCTGGGAGAAAGGCCAGGACCTGTGGGTCCGCGCAGGTGAGATGCTGAGGACTCTCTATTGATACTTAGCCGCATAGGTATTTGTAGGCACTGCAAAGGCACTTGCAACTTTGTGCGCGAAAAACAACTATGGCAAGTCAATGACAGGTGATCGCAGATTGAATGGAACATTGAAGCAGCGATGAGGTGGATCACATGGTGTGTGTGTGTGAGCATATATATATAGTCATGACTGCATGCCTGGATGTATATCAGTATGTCTGCATGCAGTTATGCATACATTTTCGTATATACATACGTATGTGTAGATGTAGGCGTGCATTTGTATCAGTACGTATGTACGTGTGTATGTTTGTATGCTTATATGCATGTATGCATGCATGTGCGTATGTATGTATGCATGTCTGTATGTATACATGTTTGTATGCATGTATGTCGGTCTGACTGTTTGTAGGTATATGTATATGTATATGTGTATGTGTCTGTATATATATATATATATATGCATGTGTATACGTATGTGTATTTGCATGTATGCATGTATGCATGTATGTATGAATGTATGTTTTTGTGTATGTACACATATATATATATATGTATGGTCGCCCCCCCCACATGATCATACATACTCTTCTTCCATGCGTCCCATGCCTCCTCCTCCTCCTCCTCTTTCCTCTTCAGGAGGGGGTTTATTGTCACCGAGCCTTACGGCGCGCAGCTTTTTTTTTTTTTTGGGGGGGGGGGGCGTTGTTGTTTTTTTTTGCATACCACCAAGCCATAATATGCGCAGTTTTTTGGTTTTCAGGCGGCCCGAACACATGGCCTGGCCGAAATGTGCGGACACCTGGAACACCCAAAACACCCAAACAACCTGTGTATAGTATGGTTTCGTGGTATCCCAGACCAAACCAAAAAAAAACTGTGTATAGTATGGTTTGGTGGGCAGTGGTGGTTTCCAACGGATTTCTGCTGTGGGGCTTTCCAATCGAATCCCTTTGCTGTGCTTTCCAAAGGGTGCCTGTTGTGAGGATTTCCAATATGATCCCTTTGTTGTGCTTTCCAAAGGATTCCTGTGGTGAGGTTTCCGCTATAGCACCTTTTGTTGCGTTTTCCAACGGGTTCCTGTTGCGAGGCTTTCCGATGGAATCCCTGTGTGATGTTTTCCAAATGATTCCTGTTGTAAGGCCTTCCAATGGAAACCCTCGGCATGCTCGGGGTACCTTGAGGATCTCTGAGCATCCTGAGGAGGCCCGAGCGGTAGCGGCGACGTAATGCGGAAGGGGGTGCAGAGGCTTAGAGGCAGCGTCGACGACGACGACGCACTTGCGGGCACGGCTGCGGTGGGGCACAGTAATGAAAGATCTGTCAGACGCATGCGGGGACACCCGCGCACCCTGAGGCCGCCTGATCACTAGCAGCGACAGGAGGCAGCGGGGGTGTGCGCGGGCGGTTCGTAGCAGCGGGGGCAGCGTGGGCCGCTGGCTGCCCCTACTTCGCCAGAGAGAGGCCCTGCCCCTCAGAACTTCGGGAGCGCGCCGCGCCTCAGTCGGCATCGCTATCAGGCTGCTCGGCCGCGCCACCACCAAGCTGTTCGGCATCGCCACCGGGCTGATCGGCCTCGAGCATGGCCTCCATCTCTGCGTCCCAGTCGACGTCTCCGTCGTCAATCGCGATGGTTTCCCCATGCGCCTGCGACGCGATCGACGCAAATATCGCCTGCTGCTCCTGGAGGTCGACGGGCGAGAGCGGCCCGCCGTGCGCCAAGCCCGTCTTCCTGGTCTTCCTGGGCGGGGTGACCAGGTCTTCGTGCGCGCCGTGGTAGGCCTTGGCGAGGCCGTGGAAGATCGCCATCTGCTCGCGATGGTCCTCCTCAGGGAGAGCGCCGTGGCAACCGACGATCGGGTGCTGCACCTCGGGCGCGGCGTCGGCGGGCGCCGCCTCGCCATTCGGCGCGCTCGCGCCGCCGCTCGACCCCGAGGCAGCGCCCGCCTGCCACGGCACAATCATGCCCTTGTTGGTCTCGGACTTGATGAGCTGCTCCACGCGGGCGTTCCGCGCCGCCGTCAGTCCTTTGGGCGGCGTCGGCTCGGTCGCGTCCACGCCGCCGCCGAAGCCGAACGCGTCCTCCTCGCCCGCGACGTCGGCGCCGCCGCGGCGGCCGAACAAGTCGTCGTCCTCGGGCGCAGCCCCGGGGCCATCCGACTAGCCTGCCTCCCGCGGCGCCGCGGCGCCAGCTGGCGCGCCGCCCGCGGCGGCGGCGGCGGCGGCGCCATCCCCGCCATCGCCGTGCGCGCCCGCAGCGTCGCGCGCATCGGCCATGAGCTTGAGCATATCTTTCTTCTCGAAGGCGAGGGGCCTGTCGTGCTCCTCCTGGTCGCGGCGCTTTTTGTGCTTGAGGTGCCGCATCAAGATCTTGCCCGCCTCGGCCGTTATGTAACTGCTCATGAGGGGCAGCTTCTCAACGATCGAGTCCTTGCCAGCGGGCCTGAAGAAGAACGTGTGCTGTGTGTTCAGGGCGACGCTGCACCGCTCGAGCAAGGCCCCTAAGTTGCTCTCGGACATACCCTTAGGGAAGGCGGCCCGAATCATGTCCACCAAGATGGCAGTGGTCCGCTTTGCAGCATCGGATGACGTCGCCGCGAACCCCCACTCCTCGCTATTTGGTTCAGCGCTGGCATTGTATTCGTTGTCGCCGCCAAACCTGGGCAACGACGAAGCGCGGGGCCGACCGGCGCGCAGGATTCGCTCCTCTGGGAAACACCAACAAACCCTGACAGCCAATCTCAGGAAACCTGGCTGGCCCCGACGCTTCGACTTCGCCAGCCGCCTCGCTTGGCCGCGCGCGAACTTCGCGGCCCCCCGGCGCACGTAGGTCATGTCCTCAGCCTGCGTGGGGTCAAGGAAGGCCTTGAGGACGCGAGGCCGCTGATCTGCGAGGTCGCCGTCATCGAAGATGCAGGGCGCCCAGGGCTCCCCGACCTCCCCGCGGAAGAAGTCCATCTCTGCGGGAACCCGAACAGCAGCCTTGGCACGACCTGGGCAGACCATGGGCGGACGACCTACGGTAGCGCCCTGCTGTGCGAGACGCTAGTCGCACCCAACAGTCGCTACTGTATGTCCGCCGCCCGTGGTCTCTAGTGGCGATTTTGAAAAGTATGCCAAAAGCCTTCGAGCGCACCAAATTCTTGCGCAGCTTCACCCTCTCTCTCGTGAGCGCGCTCTGCGCCGCGGTCAAATTCTTCCCCGCTTCCTGGCGCCAGTGCGTCTCCTCGGAGGGGGGGACAGACGCGGGGCGCATTTTGTTGCTGTTGCGTTTTTAGTTAGTAAATGTGACAGGGATTGCCGCAAAGATTCTGCCGGAGTGCAAGCTTCCAGTTCTTGGCCTGCTTCCAGGCGGTCTTCGCCTCGCCCTTCCAGGACTGCGCCTCGTCCTGCGGGCTCTTGGCCTTCCGCGTGTGCTCGTTGGAGCGACTCCTGTGGACGCGCCACGAAAGAGATACGCTATCTAGCGCCACGCAGAAGCAGCACGACTCGGAAACACAATATAACACTCGTGTGATTTACCGTGTTTCCGAGTCGTGCCGCTTCTGCGTGGCACCAACTGGATGTTGGGTTGTGGTGTGTGTGTGTGTGTGGTTTTTGACACCATGGTCTTCAGGGCGTCTTCTTTCTTGCTGTGCTGCTCCGTGGCTCGGCGGACCGCCGCGCGGACCTTGTCAAAGGTCGCCGCCAGCTCCTTGGTGCGTGGTTGTTGCAGGAACGCGCGAAGCCTCTGTTTAGCTTGGTATTCTCTGTTTTAGTCCAGGTTTTTGTAGTAGGCTTCTGTATCTTTTGCTGGGTTGCCCATGGCTCCAAGCCGTGGGCTTTGTAGCGGGGCTTTGTAGCGGGGCTTTGAGCCTAAACGCGTATGTTTGGCCGTGGCACAGGTTGCATGCGATTGCTTCCCCTTTCCATTTTTCCCAACCATCCTGTGGTGTTGGGTCCTCGTTTTGAAGAGACGGTGCCCGCGTCCTCTCCTCTCCTCCTCTTCCCCCTCCTCCCTCCTCCCCCTCCTTGCCTCTGCTCTCGGCACACCTCTCACGCGTTTCGTAGCCCCATAGGGAGCTCCACCGAAGGCCCCAGTGGGGGTGTTCGCATGCGGTTCCCCCACCCAGGGCAGCGTTTCGTAGCCCCATAGGGAGCTCCACCGAAGGCCCCAGTGGGGGTGTTCGCATGCGGTTCCCCCACCCAGGGCAGCGTTTCGTGGCCCCATAGGGAGCTCCACCGAAGGCCCCAGTGGGGGTGTTCGCATGCGGTTCCCCCACCCAGGGCAGCGCTTCGTGGCCCCATAGGGAGCTCCACCGAAGGCCCCAGTGGGGGTGTTCGCATGCGGTTCCCCCACCCAGGGCAGCGTTTCGTGGCCCCATAGGGAGCTCCACCGAAGGCCCCAGTGGGGGTGTTCGCATGCGGTTCCCCCACCCAGGGCAGCGCTTCGTGGCCCCATAGGGAGCTCCACCGAAGGCCCCAGTGGGGGTGTTCGCATGCGGTTCCCCCACTCAGGGCAGCGTTTCGTGGCCCCATAGGGAGCTCCACCGAAGGCCCCAGTGGGGGTGTTCGCATGCGGTTCCCCCACCCAGGGCAGCGTTTCGTAGCCCCATAGGGAGCTCCACCGAAGGCCCCAGTGGGGGTGTTCGCATGCGGTTCCCACACCCAGGGCAGCGTTTCGTGGCCCCATAGGGAGCTCCACCGAAGGCCCCAGTGGGGGTGTTCGCATGCGGTTCCCCCACCCAGGGCAGCGTTTCGTGGCCCCATAGGGAGCTCCACCGAAGGCCCAAGTGGGGGTGTTCGCATGCGGTTCCCCCACCCAGGGCAGCGTTTCGTAGCCCCATAGGGAGCTCCACCGAAGGCCCCAGTGGGGGTGTTCGCATGCGGTTCCCCCACCCAGGGAAGCGTTTCGTGGCCCCATAGGGAGCTCCACCGAAGGCCCCAGTGGGGGTGTTCGCATGCGGTTCCCCCACCCAGGGCAGCGTTTCGTAGCCCCATAGGGAGCTCCACCGAAGGCCCCAGTGGGGGTGTTCGCATGCGGTTCCCCCTACCCAGGGCAGCGTTTCGTGGCCCCATAGGGAGCTCCACCGAAGGCCCCAGTGGGGGTGTTCGCATGCGGTTCCCTTACCCAGGGCAGCGTTTCGTGGCCCCATGGGGAGCTCCACCGAAAGCCCCAGTGGCTGCCCTCGCATGCGGTTCCCCCACCCAGGGCAGCGCTTCGTGGCCCCATGGGGAGCTCCACC